AACACTTGTGACCGGCCGCCAGCTGGACTGAACTCCATTTACTATCACTTTTTGGGCCCAGCCATCCAACCAGTTTTCAGATCCATCAAAGAGTAGGTTGAAAAAAAAAATAAAAAAATCCACACCTGAAAAGGCTTCTGCACATTTAACAATAAAGACCAAAACTATATCAAGCCAGGAATGCTGACAATTTGCACCTCAGCTTTATCCCACCTCAAAACCTCATCTATAACCTACTGCTTCAATCAGGCCTGGAGAAGGATCTGCAGCCTCTTTCACCTGCTGGATCTAACCAGTAGGTCAAGGTGGGTTTTGAAGTATTTATACAGTTCTTAATGAACTTGTGTTCTTCAACATTCAGCAGCTATAAACAAAAATAAATTTACCTAAACATCTCAGGTTCAAACAGCAGCAGTTATGTATACAGATATTATATTGATTACACATGCCATATGAGCCAGGAAATTCAAAGCGAAGTCTAGTATTTCAAGCAGAAAATTATTCCTTGCCAGCCAGAAAATTGCAGGGAACACAGGTCTGGACATGCTGCTGCATTACATAACTCAGGATAAAATATTTTCATTTCCAAAGCACCGGCCAACTCAAGCGGGCTCCTGCAGTCAGCAAGCATGAACCCAGCTCATGCCCCTCTGCAAACAAGCAGCCTGGATTTTCTTCTGCTCCCTTGCCCACCTTCCTCACTCCTCCTCTCTACAAGGTTTAATTTTGCTTCTATTCACACTGGAAAAATTGAGAGACTTCATCCCCACGAAAGCCTCTGTGCTGCCAGTGGCAAAGCTGCAAGCACATTGGATCCGTGCTCTCAGATTGGTGCAACATTAAAACTCCAGGGATGTCTTTCCCAAATTCAAGGGGGAAAGATTTACTGCAGGCATCTGGGGTTTCAGAGCCCAGCATTTCCCATCTCCTCCCATCCCACTTGCCATTCCAGGCAAGCAATATCCAGTTGTCTGAACTGGCAATCCTAACCATGCCTCTTCATCAAGGATGGTCCCTCACAGGAAGGGAGAAGGTCCTGAGTGCAGAAACACCATGACTAAGTGTGATGTCTCAGGCTGAAACACAGCAGCTTTTATCCTGCACACACATCACCTACAGACTATTAGTGCATACCTCTCCATAAAGCATTGGGCTTGCAGCATGCTCACAGTACCAGACAAATTCAGGCTCAGTCAGTCCATCCAGCACTTTCAGGAGGCATCAAGCAACTATGCACACAGTGCAGGGAAGTGTGGGACTTCCCTGTGCACAGCAGCGCCATCAGCATTGGCTGACCAGCTGTCAGTCACCCGAAAGTCTAGACACATTTAAAAAAAAAGAGTAAATTGCATCCAAACTTTCCAGATGAAAAAAGCGTTATATTATGAAAACTTCGGCCCTACCCTATTTGGAGAGATTCCTGCTTCTCAACCCTTTGCTCAGGATATTTCTCCTACAGAAACCAAGCAAGCTGTGTAGGTACCATGTACCCCAGGTATTTTTTATCTCACAGATATGTTACTATAAATAACAGAAAAAAGCCAAAGCTGAGGGGTTTTGCATCAATGCCCTCAGAGCACACAGCCTTTTCCCTTGCCTCTTTCACCACTGGGGAATATTTGCAGCTCACTGGACTACTTTGATCAGGTCAAGGCTCATGCTTTAGTTGGCCTCGAGGAACTTGTGCAAATGCTACAGAGGAAACTACTAACCAGCAGTAACAGACCACCATAAAACAAGCAGGTAAATCTAGCACCAATATCAGCCCAAAGACAAGTCTGGAGCATGAGTTCTGCTTTACTGGGCAGAAAGATCTCAGGAAAGCAGGATGCTCAGCTGTGATGCCCACAGTCAACACGAGAGGGCCCAGCCTTGCCACAGCCCACGGCTGGACACCAGCTCTCCTCACTTCCAGAGATCACTGACTGCACACTGTCCTGCTTTGCCTAACGGTGGAGGTTATAGATCTCACACTCAGGAGCAATCTTTGTTTTTTTTACATGTTTACATCCTCTGATGGTGCAAAAGGCTTTGTGTCCATGCTGTCCACCTCTAGGTAAAGTCTTCTGAGGGGCTTTGCTAGTATTGGTGTCAAGAGCAGCATCCACGCACATCAATCAAATTTTTTTGTTGGATGGTTGATGTATGGGTTATATTTGGGTTGGACACTTCCTAGAGTATCTCAGTGCTGCCAAAGGCTCTTCAGGAGAGACCGGGCAAGTCACAGATTCTGTGGTCTGGAGTCCCCATTTAACTTTCCCACCTCCTAGAGGAAGGAGAGACTCTGACATTTGTAATGCACTTCAGTGTTGGGAACAGCCATGGAAGTGTAAAATATCACATGCAAACAAAAGTTATATTCCATCAAATATAGCTATCTGAGGATTGAACTAGTAATCAGCGATGATTCTCCTCGTGCAGATAAATGAACTGATCTGATTTCTGCATTACTTAGGGAAAATGAGATATACACACACACAATACTTGCAAAATAACAAATAGAAAATTAATTTTTTTAGCATTGAAAAAAATGCTGACATGCATGTCCACAATGCCACAGCAGTTGCTGACCAAACCACACACCAGCAGCAGCACACCCAGGATGCACATCATATTTGGGAAACTGTTTCCAAGCATGAGAACAGCCCTTCCCTCCATTACTAGCAGAATCTGGGTTCTGACTGGAGAAAAAAAAAAAAGTCAGTGCAACCTTAAAAGATGTTTATAAAAGCATGTGTTAAGACATGCCTGGACACGAACACCCATGCCCAGACACTCAAAACACTCAGTTGATCTTGGCCATGTTTTAGCAAATCATGCAGCCACCAAGCTATATGCTCTGCAGCAACGCACTGTTGCATGGAAGTGGTTAAAGACTCAGCCAGCACAGCAGACAGGCTGACTTTCAAGCATGGAAAACTGCATTGCCAGAAATCCAACCAAAAAAGGCTGTTTTATCTACTCAAAACCAACACACTCTTCCCAAAGGGAAAAAAAAAAATACAAAATGATTTTTTAAAACTATGGCCAAGCATTAAACTGGATCATGCCTCGCATGGAAAAGCCAGGAAAGCTTCCTAAGCCCAGTTCTCTACAATGGGAAATAAAGCTCCCTCTCCCAGACCTGACCCACTGAAATGGGGAAACCCATCAGCACCTTAGGTGAGAATTACTCCACCTTTATAAACCAGGTGCAGGATCAGGCTGAACCTCAGGTGTCTCCCATGAGCTGGGCAACAATTTTGGGGACAGCAGCCTACAAGCAGAAAGGCAAAGCAGGAGAAGGAGTGTTTTGCCTTTGGTGCAGGAAAAAAAAAAAAAGAGGTATCTGCATGTCAACCAGGTAAGAGGCAAAGAAATCTCCTGATGCATTAGTCTGCTGGGCTGACATGGGTTTGAGTGGAGTCACAGTTGCACGTGGAGATGTTTTGACACTGGGTGACAGGGCTCTGATAAAAACACCTGCAAGATTAGACAGTTTGACACCAGTGTTTTTGAAAAGATAGGAGAAAAACTATCACAACTAAAGGATTTTAATAAAATATTTATGAGAACATCATGACTCAAATGAGGTTGCAGATACAAAAGTATCATAAGTGTATGTCATTAACCAATGACATAAGTCCCATAAATGTACTGTGGAAATATGAATACATGTATTAGATAGTTTGGGTCATAAAAGAAGGTCCAAGAAAAATTTTCTTCAGTTTTAACTACAATGACATGTCTTACTGCTGTTGACCATCTTGTTTTGATTGTGCCAGAGATCATGGTATGAACAAATTAAAAATTTTTGCTAATAAGGCTTTGGTTTTTAGGAATGTCTTTTAGTTAAAAAAGATAAGTACATATTTCCACCTCTTGCGTTCTGCTCAAGTTAGCTTGTGATTTACCGGGATTTACATCACTTCTCCATCAAACCTAGTAGAAATAAAAAGTAATTAAGCCTTATCTAATCTCACTTTCACACAGCTGAGGTCAGTGTCCAGAGAGTTGTGCTTGGTACCTGCGGCTTGGGCTGCAGGGCCCACAGCACCATGTGTGATACTCCCATGCGGTGCTGTGCTGTGTTATGCCATGCCACTGGCAGGTGATAAGTTAGCAGTGTCAGCAGTAAAGGGAAGAGGTAATAAGCAAGATGAAAACCTTTGAAAGATTTGGGTTGGAAGGGACCTTTTAAAGATCATCTAGTTTCAACCCTCCCTGCCATGGGCAGGGACACCTTCCACTAGACCAGGTTGCTCAAATCCCCGTCCAACTTGGCCTTAAACACTTCAGGGAAGAGGCAGCCACAACCTCTCTGGGCAACCTGTGCCAGGGCCTCACCACCTCACCATAAAGCAAAAAAACAAACTCAAAAAACTGTCTTGCACACTGTTCTTGACAACATATTTCATCATCCATTGAGACTGTCTTGCTAATATTCAGACAGCTACACCTCCTGAGAAGCTGACACAGTACCTACCATTCCTTCATACCAGATTGGGTCCTGCATCCCAGATCTCCAAAAAGGAGATGCACACTCTACTGCTGTAGCTACATGCACTTGCACTAGCTCTCTTAAAATAGCAAGAATCAAAGCCAAGACACTACAGCTGCACTGTAGAAGCAGTAAAGAAAAAAAAAAGAAAAAAGGAAAAAAATCACCTTCCTCTGAAGCATTAGGATTGGTAAGGTTTCAGTAAGAATATTAACCCCTAACTAGCACCTCTCCTATTTCATGTTGCAGCCTGAAGTGCAGTGAAGAAGCCTTCTAAGACAATTGCTTGAAGGAGCCTTCTCCAGGAAGGAACACAAAAATTATTAGGGCAATTAATCACACAGTGCAGGTAACCCACTTTCAATCAGTCATTTGTATCTGGATTTTGTAAGGCAGCATCTTCTTGGTGACTCAAGAGGGAGGCCGACATCGCCAAGCAAAGCTTTCAGGCATGCCCTCTAATTCAAGAGCACAGCCTGCTACTATAGAGTAGGACTGCTAAAAGAAAAGGGGGTTTTGTTGGTTTGGGGTTTGGTTGTTTGGTTGTTTTTTTTTTTTTCCAACTTACATGAGGAAATAAAGAAGTGATCCTGTGTTTCAGCTGGAGGCTCCCTTACTACCGCCATGCGTGCAACATCAGCCGGCCGCATGGGAGCTGTGCATCACACCCCTGTGCCACCCCACAGGAAAGGTGGCAATTTCCAACCGCGAATTGGTATGTAGGAGGGACTTTGCCTCTGTTATGCATTTTAAAGGAAGGTTTCTTCCCCAGAAATGACAGCTTTTTTTGAACATGAAGTGATGGAGGAATATAACAGAGTTAGCATTAACAGAGCAGAGGCAAAGCAACAGCACCGGCTATTTAAATCCAGGGCAGGAGATGAAGATGGACACAATAAGGGCAGCTCAGGGAAGCTCATCTCCCGAGTCTCCATTCCCTCCAAAGATCAGCTTGAAATCCCAAACCAGAGTGCCCTCTTTGCCACTAAGATCAAGTTTTGTGTGATGGGTCTAGGCTATCCCTAGGCTAAATATTGCCCCAGTGTTCCCCAATTCATCACCACCTCTTATTTCCAGATGGGAAGCACAATTTACCTGTAACATCATACATGATCTTGCACCTGAGCACGTATGCTTTGCTTCCTAAGAAAACTACACTGCCAGTGCAAGCATTGTGCCCTCTAAGTAAAGTCTTCCCCTCTAAAAATGCTCTCATTTGATGGAAACTCCCCAAGATGGGATCAGCCAGCCCGTCTGGCAAGTGGCTGAGCTGACAGAGAATATTCTTTGCATTTCTGAAAAAAATCACTTCAGTTCGGTTTTAGCTATGAGTATATGCCAGAGAAGCAGATGTTTCATGAAAACAAATTGTTTGGAGAGGGGAGAAAGCAGAAATAACAGCGACTTGGGTGGAACTTCAGGGCTGATTTAAATTGATGTAAGAGGGAAGGTTCCCAACCCTGCCCACACAGCCCTGCCTGCACCCAGCACCCCGACAGCTGCAGGAGCAACCCAAGCCACATGGGAAAAAAATTTGGGGGCAGGGCAACAGATTTAGGTTTTATATCCCATTTATATTTCATTTATGTAAAAAAGTATCTTTATTATAACTAGTATCTATAATTGTCATTTGATATCATAACAGCTCCCAGGTAGGATTTTTATAAGGGTATCAGCAGTCTCTTCATTGAGTAAGGAACTGTATTCATGTTCTGGGTAAATTTTAGCTCACACGCTATCACATAGCCTGTTTTCAGTTCCCCTTATAGTTTCAGGTGGTTACAGGACTTGTCATTTGTCCTAAGCCTCCACAAAAGTACAGTTACTCATCTAGGGCAACTACCAGCTGTTAAAACCTCATTTCAGATTCAAGCCAGCTGCAATTCAAGAGACTGCATGGTTTAAATTTAACACTAAAAAGAAAGCCCAACAAGTAAAAAGCAGCTGCTCTTTAGGGGAAGCTTTCTGCTCTAGGTCTCCTACCACTGCAGGGACATTACTCAAACAGCTTACCTAAAAACCTAAAATGTAAAAAAAAAAAAAAATTTAAATGTGTTCCAGGGGCAGGGCCTTTGAGATTTATTATTTAGAGCTGATGCAGCAAATGGTACCTTGAAGGCTAAAGCAGGCAGGCCCCCACAAAAGCAAGCACCACATGTGCATGCATACACACACATTAAAAGACAGTGTCGGTCACAGCAGCTCTCTAACCCAGTTAAATCATGTCTTCACCTCTGCACACCTCTCCTCCCAGCTCAGCCACACAGGTTAATAAATTATTGCAGTGATTTGCATTTGGAGAGAAGGTGAAGGCACAATCGCATCTTTCGCAGTGCCATTATTCACGCCTCTGATGTTGTCAATATACAACAACCTTATGACATAGCCCAGGCTCTCCCAAAACACAGTACGTGCATGCCCTTTGCTCAAAAATATATTCCCGTCACAAACACGACCTTTCAGGGCTTTGCTGATACAGACATTACTGTGTTATATATAATACCACATAAAAATTCAGATCAGTCAAGCAGTCTACTGAAATTCTGACCTCTTTGGGACTAATACTAGGAAGCAGAAAGTTACTTCCTTTAGTTTACGTAAAGCAAGCAGTAGCCAGTCCTCCATAGGCACTGATGCCAACATGACGTGTGCAGCCTGGGCAATGCTGTCACTGCCCTGCTAGGGACCTTCACACTCACAGCTTCATGGTCATGGGGATGCAACTTGGCACGTCAGCACCATGTTTGTGACCGTTTATTTTTATTCCTTAGCAACAGAGCAGCTCTTGGGGTTGAGTTTTGGGTTGGGATTTTTTTTTGTGTGTGTGTTGAATCTATATTTGGCACCCTGGGGAAATTCCTGAGCAGAAGATAGCAATTTTTAAGAGAGGATAAATGCTGGCACTCGAGCTTTGCTGACAGTAACACCACCCCCAGGCTTTCAGTTAGCATGAAGTGCTCAGACCTGGATCTGGCAGGAGTCCTTGCATGGACCAGGCTTCAAGAGTCACATACATCACATTTTCTGCCTTTACAAAACCTTGCTCTGACAGGAGAAGATTTATTAGCTCATCAAGTCTCTAAGCCATTTGTTTCATGTGTAAGCCAGCATCTCCAAGGCTCCGAACCTCATCACTGTTCAGCAGCACTCATGGGTCCCATGATAGTTTTTGTCCTGCAGGAGGCAGGACCCCTCAGTAATAGCACTGTCTCAAAGAGAAAACAACAACAACAAGAACACAACACAAACAAAAAACAAACCCACAAAGAGACTTCAGTATAATACAGTAAATCTGAACTAAGACACCGTTCTTACCATGAATCATGGAAAGATCAATATCCTCCAGCTCTTTACAGCTCCCAAGCAAACATGCAAATTAAATCCTGCCTAATCTGCATGAGAAAAACAAATAACACCTGATGTTTCCCAACTCTGTTAGCAACATAGCCTTTAAAAAAAAAAAGATTTAATCATAGGAAGGATAGAGAAATCACATGGCTCGGCAGTTTCATTGGTTGTCATGGTAAATTAAAATCCCTGACTCTTACTTGTGTGTTTTAGAGGAAAGGAAACAACAAAAATGCCCTTTTTTTAACGACTAGAAAGGAATGTTTTCCTAATAATCACTCATGAACCCACTGCACACTATATATATAAACAGCTGCTCCTTCTCAGGGAAAATGTTTGCTGTTTCTTACTGAGCAACTCCCAGGGATCCAAGCAATTCAGCCCCAGCAGACATTCAGGCACGGGTAATGAGAATCATGTGCTTTTAAATGTGGTGACTTCTTGCCTGCCAAAGGGAGTCGGAACTAGCTGGGGGGGTCTCAGCTCCATGACAGCTCCACCACCAGCTCCTGGGGGAGGCTGCTGGCACGGCACAGCCAGGGGAACCTGGCAGCGGCACAAGTCCCCTCCCCTGCTCCTACACTCAGCATCACTGCAGCATTTCTTGCCACGTGTCTAATAACAGGAGTTTCTTCATGCTTTCTCAAAGCAAGCCAAAACCACAAGTATTTGCGTGAGTTTTAATCTGCCAGACAGGTAACAGTGGCAGAGACACCCTCACATTTGCTCCAACAAAGGCAATCCAAAGCACCTTTCCTCCAAAAGCCTACACGACCAGCACCACACACCTTTGTTAGAGTAGATGTTCTGAATGTAGACAGGAGATAATTTGGCTGTAACTTCAAGAGCAGGTCCCCAGAGAGCCAGCTCCTTCCAGCTGTGCTGCCTTTTGTTTTTGGCTGCATGCTAGAAGTCTGGAAAATTGAGGATATCCACACAGCAGATCTACATCACTCATTTCACCACCAGGTCTTATTTGGTTGGCTTTGCCTCCAGCCCTTCTCCTCTTGCAAATCTTTCTCTTCACTCCCAGGCTCTAATGCAAGGCCTTTTGTCTAGAAGGAACAACAGGACCCTAAAGAATAATGTTTATTATATGATGTTGCAAGCAATGCTCCTCTGTGGGTTATGTTTTTTCTGCCACCCCTGTCCACCACAGTTGCAGTGGGGCACCCAGAAATTGCACATGTGGCTGGCTGGAAAACAGGCCCTTCTCTAATGAAAGCCACAAGCTCCATCCTTTCTATTCCCCAAAAAGCAGCTGCGTACAAAACCACACCACTGCACTCCAACGCTGGCTGCGTATGTACACCGAGGGCCATATCTGACCAAAGCCAGACGCCTCAGCACGCGTTTGCACTGCAGAGCCTCCATCACAACCACAACCCGAGCCGGGCTCCTCCCCCGACTTCATCTGCAAAACTGAGCCACAACCAGGGACACCCATGCAAATCAGCAAAAGGCAACAGGACATAACAAGGGTAACTAGTTTGGATCCTTTATCTTCTAGATATGAGGCAGAAGCAAGGACATTCATCACCATCATCCCTGGCCTGCCCACTGGACTGTGAGCGAGACACCCACCTTCTCATTTACAGCCTGCACATACCAAAAAGAGGTCACTTTGTATCAAGCATGAGATAAATTTCCACAATAACTTTTGGCTCAAACACTGAATTGTATCACAAGCCTCATACTTTAACCCCTACCCACACCACAGAGCTGAAATGTTGAGGCTGCTCAAGTTCCTGGAAATGCAATCACAACCCAGGGGACAAGGGAACTCAGCACTTTCACCCAGGCAATAAGCCAAAAACACAGAAAACAGGAGTTTTCCACACAGCACTCCAGCCAGAGTACTCCTCGGCACACCAGTCCTGCAGCATCCCTTCCCTGCAAGGGTTGCTGGCTTACACACTCAGTCCTCCAGTGGTTCAGGGTCTGGAGCATTTCTAGATTGCTATGGACGTGGGTGGATTCAGGGAGGGATGGGCAAGGAAGAAAGCACAGGCCAAAGGGGAATTAAAAGACAGGCTAAGAAAAAGGAAAACGGAAAGGAAACCAAAACCAAGCAAGAACAACTCTCTTAAGGTGTTACCTTAAGAGTGGGCTCACACAGTTTTACTCCGCTAAGTTAAAGGCATGTGACAGAGCAAATGTTTTTCATCCCAACTAGGAGAT